TGGAGTGACCCCTGTTGAGGTACAAGGATGAATTTAAGCAAAACCTAAATTCTATTGGCATCCTTCTGTTGACATTTGAGGAAGTGGCTTCTGGTCATGTCAAGTGTAGGAGTCCTCTTCTTCTTCTTCTTCTTCTTCTTCTTCTTCTTCTTCTTCTATATGCTGTATCCCTTCAGGACGATGGTGGTCATGGCCCTCCACAATTTTCAGTAAAAATACAAAATTTAGTAAGAGCTACAAAGTAGAGGAGTATGTGCATGAAAAGCATTACAACTTTTGAGAGTTCATGCATTGAACACCTACGTACTGCAAGGCAGAACACTGAACACAGTCTTGGGTATGACAATAAACTACAACTTCATACCTGTATATTGATTAGCCGTTTACAACTTATCAATCCATGATTTATTTTTTACAGTTTATCAACTCATTGTAGGCTATTTAAAGCCAAAATATTATGGATTATAAGAATAATACCTTTTGTGAGAGAATATTGCATGAACAATGGAAATACCAATGATTATACCAGATACAAGTCCTACTATTTAACCCACAGCTGGATTCATACTTTTTGCAAGAGTAGTTGCACTTAAGTGAATGTAACAATCCTGAGAGGAATTTAAACTTGGCACTCTGATTTCTCATAGCAAGTCATTTCTTCCATTCATTCCTTATATATACCATTTTCTTTTATCATTGCAAAAAATAACAACTGTCATTTACATGTGAAAATTTCGTTTGCCACTGCTTTTAGCTAAGCTAGAAACAGTATCTATAACAAATGGTTACCATTTGTTGTGGATACTACTTTTAGCTAGCAAGATAGTGTTCAACCTTTTAAATTACTTAAATAACACCACCTTACAGTGTCTTGGCAGATCAAGTGTGGGTAATACCCATCATATATGATATGCTTTAAATCTACTATTTTTTTTAAATTATAAATGTTGACATTTACCATCCCTCTTTGGCATGTTTCTGTTGTTTATTCACACAAACTTATTAAGTAGGCTATTTGATTTTCCATCACTTTTCTTGTTTGCAAGATGTTTTGCATGTGTTGAATTCTTCAGGCCTTCTTTCCTCCTTACACTTACACTAAGAAATGTTTTTACCAAGGAAGAAGACTGTCAAATTAATTAACATTTAAATGTTTATTCATGATTCTAATGATATTCTTAGGCAATTTTTGGACTTTAAATAAAGTTTTAAAAAAAATATATTAATTTTCAATTTTCTTTTAAATTTTCATTTGATATTTCCGGAAAAAATTGGAATGCATGTGATTTCCTTAAAGCATTGGAAATTATTTCAATTTATTTATCTATCTATTTTATAATTTATGAAAAGTAATGATTTTATATCCTTATTAAAGATAGGCCTATGATAAGATAAAAAAAATTGGTTCACTTGTTTATTTTCACTTAATCCAACCTCACATGAAGCCCTTTAAAAATGTTCAAATTTTTTTCACACCTTTTGCTCACATCTTGTAAGTGGTGTTAATCCCCACCAGCTGACAAGTGTCTTGAAGAAAAAATTTTTTATTGCTGGCTGGCTGGCTTTGAGCCAGCCATATCAAAGACAATTATTTGAACCCTATCTTCTTCCTTATTGCTGCTTTTTAGGCAAAAATTATTGAAATCAAGCTATTGTTTTTTAGGTTTTTTTTCTGAAAACTCACTGTGGACCAAAAGTGTATCCCCTTACCTGGATGATATAACACTGTGACATTGTATCTCTGCAGGCACATCAAAATATTCTGCAGATGCTTTAACCACTTTGCCAAGTCCTTTTTCATTATAACATCAAGAGGTCTGTGGTCACTCAGGACAGTAATATGCTGGCCAAATGTGTATTGGTGAAAGTGTTCACTTGCACAGACCACTGCCAGTAATTCCTTCTCTATCTGTGCATACCATGTTTCTGTTTCTGGTATAAAACAAGAGTTGGCCTTCTTGAAGCAGTGCAGCTCCTAAGCCCTTCTCACTTGATGACCAGAGATTTGTTGTGGCTACGACATCTCAGCACAGGTGTTTCACTCACCATCTTCTTAACCTTCTCAAAAGCTTCTCCATCCATGTCTCACATGTGTGCCTGGGAGTAGTCTATTTGTTTTTGCCAGTGTATGTATATATATTTCTTCTGTTTTCACATGCATATGTGTATTTGTGTGTGCTTTCCAACTAGTGTATTTGGCCATCATGTATGCATACTGTGTGTCCGTGGGTGTGTGGTTATGATCTGTTCAGTGCTGGTTAAATTTGTCTATGAAGTTTTTTCTTACAAATTCAAGAAAAAATTTATAGACAAATTTAAATACACATGCACCCACGATACACAAAAATGGAAATGGATTTGACAGTCTCAAGGATAATGTAGGGATAGGAAAACATCTCTCATCAACACATTTTTAAAATTTGTCTGACGATTGCAAAGGGCGTGAAACCCAGGGTCACAAACTCACAACAATTTAATTAAATATGTTAGCTCTCTTACTGATATTGAGCACTTTCCAATAAGTACTGCACATATATAATATATAAATAATATATATAAAAATTGCATATATATATATATATATATATTTCAATTAAAGGTGCGAATTATAATTTATAAATTCATGAATCATTCATACAAAAAACAAATATAGAGGTTAATGATTGAACAGGGATCATATGATTCATATACAGGTTCGGGGTTGATGTATCTTATTTATATTGTTTGCGAAGATGTATTCTCGCCATTTAAATCATTAACCTGTATATTTGTTTTTTGTATGAATAATTCATGAATTTATATATATATATATATATATATATATATATATATATATATATATACACAAACACACACACTCACATTATACATACATATATATATATATATATATATATATATACTCCTATATTATACACACTCACACACACACATATATATTTATATATAAATATCTATATCGATAAAACAAAAGATGTCTGTCTGTATGACTGTCTGTCTGTCTGTGTGTATGCTATTTATGCACATCCACATTTCTTGACCAATTTCAATAAAATTGTACACACATGTTGCAAACTTATTAACTTAGGTCAAAACCAACTTTTCAATCTCCAGGACCTCTGGGTTAAGCAGAAAAATTGATAAAACTGAAGTTGAATACAACTTTTTGCAAAAATCCAGGTATAGTTACACACGAGCAAAATTTTTACTGGATGAGCTGATATTCTTTGTACTTAATGCAGAACATGTTACACGGTTTATGTAAAGTGTTTGATAGTTTTCCTGAAGTTGAATCAAGCATTGATGTTTCATCCCTGATTTTGTTTGATTATTAGATTTGTGAACAATGCCATACTATTCAAAAGGTTATTACGTCCATAGGAAATTTACTGAATATCTAAAACATTGAAACGATTTAACCCGAAGCAACAACCACACAAGAAGGTTTTATTGATGGAATTCGTTTATTAAAAACAATCAAACACTTGCAAATAACATACCATAAAAAGATGGTCGGGGGAGTAGCTTAGTATACCAATAGATGATGCTTGCAAGCAGGGATGCAGGCAGACATACACAAGGGGTATGGTTATACAATTACATCCATGTACACCTGAGTAATGCTGGGTACCTCACCTAGTCTATAATAAAAATATATATACATATATACATATATATATATATATATATATATATATATACAATAAAGAAGTTAATGGTCAGAGTTGAATTAGACATTACAGACAATTAGACAATTACAGGAAACATTAGTATTAAAAAAGTGCTCAATACACATAAAAAAGATAAAAATTTAACATGTGCAGCTTTTAAGTATAGAAAATTAGGGTATCAGCTGATTCCACTACCTTGGTTTCAACTTTTCGGTATCTTCTAATTGACCAAAAATAGCCTGAAGATACCGAAAGGCTGAAAATCCAGGTAGTAATTGAAAACAATATATAAATATATTAAACAAGTTTTATATATATATATATATATATATATATATATATATATATATATATATATATATATATATATAATATATACGTATAATAAAGTTTAGGGAAATTACAAAATTGTTGGTTACTTCAGCAGCCTTTGTCAGTGTTTGATATCGCTCATTGAATGGTGATGCTCGATGAGAAAAAATATGAATATTTATTATTAATATATTATGAATTATAGCTCTGTTATTAATACATTGAGCACTATTTTATTAACCCTAGCAATAAATGTATGATACTATCGGTATTAATGTGGATAAATCAAATAACTAGATATTATCACCTGTATATACATGCATTCGCGTGCATACACTGGAAAACAAATAGATATTTACTCAATTTAATTTAAGGTGTAAACAAAAGTGCTCAATGTGGTTAGACAGAGCTTAGAAGTATTAATAAATATATATATACCTACGTTCAAAGTGCAACTAAAAGTTTCGTTGTTCTACCAACTTATCAAGCACGAATTATTACTTTTAATTTTCAAAAAGTTTTTTTTAAACTACTTGAATTACTTTTTAAAAAAATTTTAAATTATTTGAATTTCGTGAATAATATTTTTTTAAATGAGTTGGTAGAACAACGAAGTTGCTCTTCGAACGATACCTACGAAGTACGAGCAAAAATATATATATATTGTTCATATATCTATCCAAATATTTGTTTATTTATAAATTCATTTCATTTAATTATTTATTTACCTATGTAATTATTAGTAACTCATCTCAATTTTACTGTTAAAATTTCAACTGGTTGTCCTTGGAAATTCGTTTCTTCTGCGTAACGCTGCCAAGGGCAGATCACTATGATGACGAAATGAAAATTCTATCGGAAGACACCTGCAACTAAGGGCAGTTCACTACAGTATCTGACAACGAGAACGAAGAGTGGACTATAGAACTTCCGTTGTCGATGCTGTTGAAGAAACACCTGAGGCATTGTAGAGAAATGTTCTAGATGGGAACTAGAGTTATGCAGGATCGGCGCTCGATGCTGAGCGATGACAGCCTTTTTATGGGGAAGGACCCTCGTGGATCGGGGGCTGACCCTAGGGCCGCTGCGTATTATTCAGCTGTACCCCCACCTTCCCCTCCTCGGCAAACTGGTCAGTGTTAGTATTGCATTAAAATCTATATAATTTATCTATATAAAATATATTCTTTTTTATTAGTTCATTCATTTCTTTATTTTACCCTTTGACATCTTTTCATTGTGCAACTCTATATTCAATATTGTGTAATAATTTGTTCAAAATATATGTTATTTCTTAGTTATGACCTTGTGTAAGTTGTTTTTTATTTTGCTCACTCAATGTTTACAAAGATTATTCTCCTCATTTGATTTGGTTTTACTATTTTATACTTCTATTTGCTGACTACAAAACGTTAACATATTATATATCATATAAAGAGATTAGCAGATATGTCAACATTGAAATTAGTGAAATTTAGCAGTAAAAAAAACAATTCGCTTTTTTCAGGCACGTAAATTCAAAGTCTTTTTTTTAATTGACAACATTTTTTACTTGCTGGATCAATTAATTTTTAATTTTAAGTCTTATGATAAAATTCTTAGTAAAAACAAAAAAGAAAATAGAAAAAAAGATTACAGTACACATTTATAAATTTGCTCCTAAAATGAATTTTTTTTTCCGGTGTCACATTTTAAAATAAAATTAGTTTTTAAAAAAACCATCATCACAGCTAAATTAATTAATAATTGTTAATTACTTGAATTTCATGAATAAAATTATGCTCATGATGAATTTTGGGGTGTTCTTCTGTTAAGGTTTTTTCCCATTCATAAGCATTTTTTCCTTTATTTGTTTTTATCTTCTCTTTTACAGAGTTAAATTTAAAATCAACGTTTTACATACGTTGCTTTCCATGAAGAAGTATTGTACATCACCAAAATTTTGTTTTTAAACTTGCCTATTAATTCTAAATGAAAGTAGACAGTCCTCGATTTTTTTACTTAAAAAACAAAACAAAAACAAAAAAAATAATTCACTAATTTTTTTAAAAATTACTTTGTTTTTTTGTTTTTCTTATTCTTACAAATCGATAAATTTACTTTAAAAATAGTTACTTACTCCCTTAACTTAAGAAAGCTAAAGCACAACAAAATTAAATAATTTTGTGACTTTGTCAAGTATGATAAAAAAAAGTCCATAATTTAAAAATATTTTAAGAGTAAACAGAAAATGGATCCTAGAGTAAAATAACAAAACGTATAGTCGTTTTTAGCGTTTCAAACGACTTTTTTCTTTATTATTTTTTTTATATCTCCCTTCTTGTTTTATTTTTGGTTCAGGTAGCTCTTACCTTCTTTATTTTACTAAAATTTCAGTTTTTTAAAAATTCTGGTCACCAATTTTGAATTAAGTTTCATCTTTGTACTGACAAAAAAAATAAAAGTAGATGAAAAATTATTTGGCATTTCGAATGCATGACTTCATCTTGAAAGGTCGGTTTATATTATAATATGAGTCCCGTTCAAGAAGTGTATGTCCAATGTAAGAAAGATAAGTCAGTATTTGGTAAATCGTTTGAAACGTTAAAACCAAAACCATATGCTACAAAAATGTTATTATGTATGTTTCTTTATTTAAATTTATCTACAGATTTGAACATTCCCTTTTAGTTTTGTGTTTTATCAAGAGCATAAGCCTTTCTTTCCTGTGTGGTGATAGCTTTTCACTTTAACTTTTTACAATTTATAAAATTCCCAGAATAGGCAACTTTTGCATAAAATTAAATTTTCTAAATCCTAAGCCAAATGTACAGCTTCCATCATAAGACTAGTGAAAATCTAATGTTTTAAGCCAAAACTAGAGGATAAATGTATTTTTTTTAATTCATGTTTTACCTCATATACAAAAAACAAAAAAATAATGATTGCAACCACTTATCTGTTTTTCTACTCTCTCTCTAGTCTATATTTTTATGTATTCTTTATTATTAACTTTAATATTTTTTTCTAAATTTAATACAAAATAATTGTCATTCTTTTTCATGAAGAAATAAAATTAACAAAAAATACTTAAAACACTTTTTAAACTTGTGTTTATTGTATTATCAAATCTATTATTATATCTAGCTCGATTGAATTTAAATTTGTTCAGATGCTATCAAGTTAACCCAAATTGTCACAAAACAAAAATGATACCATCCAAATTTAACAAAGTTTTCAAAACCTATAAAATCTGTGCAGTTGATACCTTAGTATTCAAGTTCTTGTTTCATATGGACTAATAGACTATGTCATGTGACTATTCATCTTAAAATATACATTTCTTTTTTAGTTCTGTAATGAAATTGTCTGTTTTAGAGCTAAAATTTGTTGACAATGCAGAAAAATATCAGTTTCAGATTAAGCTACTAAATGTGATGTCTCTTCAGGATGTAGGTGATCATGGCTCTCTATAAACAGATATTTATCTGTGAATTGTCATGCCTTCTTGGGAAAGATATTAAAATGGTTTCCTGTTATATATTCCATGCATTCAAATTCAGATTAGTCCTTCTTTAAGACTGACTTCCATCCAAGGCCAGAGAGTCTAGTCTACTCTGCTATTTAATCCATAACCAAAGAGGTGTTGAGACAAGATGGATTCATGCCTTTCTCAAGTGTATTAGTGCAAGAATGATTGAAACAGACTTGGTTAGAATTTGAACTTGGTTCACTAATTCCATTTTCTGTGCAAATAACTATTATGCTACTTGCACAGACAGCTTAAGCTCATGAACCTAATAAAATTTTCTTTATTATTTAATGTTAAAATTCAAGAATTTCTGTTTAATTCACAGATCTTGTCCGTTTTACTGGCATGGCAGTTGGGATTTCAAGGTAAATTTCTTTAATCTTCCTTTTGTAATAAAAGAAAAACCCAAAACACACCAATATATTAAATTTCTTCATAATCTGTAATAATTCTTTGTTTAGTAAATGTCAAAAATAGATTTTGAACATCTTTCATCTTGGTTGTTGAGAAATTGTGAAGTTGAAAGAGAGATGAAGTTTCTCATTAAATCAAACAAAAAAAAAAAAAACTATTTCATTATCTCTGTTTGGAAGGTGTATGTCAACACCATTTTTTAAAAAAAAATTTAATTATTTCACCCCAAGCAAAGCAATAATGTCACTAATTTTAATACTTACTATAATTTTAATTTTCTTACACAGAAACATTTGGCATTAATTGACCAACCAGCCAATACTGCTTTCGGTTGAAATTTATAAAATATTTCTCTTAAACCAATTTTTTAGGAAAACAGGTTACCCAAGCCCAGTAGCTGTTATCACACTCTCCAATATTGATGGGGTTTCCCTTCCTAACCTTTTGTTTGAGGTAGTGTGGAAATTTGAAGTAGTGTGAAGACAAGATAACAATTGACATTGCATTTAAATTTTTAAAGATCAAAGTTGACTTAAAAGCAAGAAAACAAAAGAGGGTTCCATAAGTGAGAAGTGCGAGAAAAGAAACTATCAGCATAGAACTTATAGTTATATCTTGCCAACTCAACTGTAAAATGATGAGACATTGCCACTAATCTAGTAGTATGCTTAAACTGTCTAGGTACCATAGAAGAAATTCAACAGAACAATTACTATGAAAATATTTATAGCAAATGCCCAGGGAAGCTACATTACGGCAGTGGGAAAGTGATTGAAGACAAGATGCCAGGTCAGGTTCAGTAACATTGCAGATTCTATTGCGTATTTTATCAAGAATCTCTAAATATATAGCAGAATCAACAGACCAGATATGACTGCAATATCAAATGTATGGAAATATAAAATTATATAGTTTCAGTATAAACTTTTGATTGTTTCTGTGGTTGTTGAAAAAACACAAATTGTGTCTGAATAGACATCTGCAATAGGGATGGCTAGCAGATATATAGACTCTGAAATGAGCAGTTATTATTATTATTTTCTTTTTTTATTTATTATTGCTGCAGCTTTTCACCTCACATATATAACCAAAACTGTACTTTTCACTTTCTTCTAACCCCAGGTATATTGGCATACAATTTCATTTTTTGCTTTACTTCTTAATTGCTAATCCTTTGCACTGCCTATCACTTTCTCTATTAAAAATAATTTTAAAAAATGAACGTTGATAATTTAGGGATAATCTACATAAGCTATCTTTTTATATGCCATAACATTTCTGAAAATGGACGATCATGGATCTCCACTACTTCCTGTATTTTGTTACTCTAAGTAACTTTTGATATTTTATCATCCCTCCTTTGTCATTGTTCTGTGGTCCATTTATTCAAACTCATTATGTTGTTTACACACTTTTTCTCTCACCTTTGTTACCTTCAATATGACCTGTGTGTTCCCCAAGCACGCTTTCTTCATTTTGGTGATTTTCTAAGCATAGCATGGGGCACCCAGTGTGGATCAAACTCACTACCCAGTCATAATTGTTCTGACAAGACAAGCTTGCTAACCATTATACCACATCAAGGTGCCCTGATTTTCTAAGCATAGATCAGATATGACACAAGGCTGAAAGTATGGGGCACCCAGAGAGAATCAAACACACTACTCGGTCCTAATTGTTCTAGTGAGACAAGCTTGCTAACCATTACACTACGTCAAAGTGCTCCTCTTTCTGAAGAAAGAGCGGCACTGTTTATTTTTGGTGTATCAGTTTCCTTGTTGCTCCTGTTCTTAAAATTATGAATAGTTCCAATGACCTGTATCAGTTTATACTAGAATCCTTTTCTTATGATGTATACCTGGCAATAAAGAATGGTAACATTATTCATATAATTATTCTGGGAGATATATATATATATATATATATATATATATATATATATATATAATCAACTCTCCTGTCGAGATTCAACATATGAGGGTCAAGCAGATCGGTTTGCAGGAAACCGACAGCCCAACACCGGCACATGAGATTTGATTATAGTGGTGAAGGCCTCGTGCAGAACCATCCACACTTTTTGAAGGGATGAATACAGAGACCTGGTGTACCGAATGCCGCAAGGTTTCCAAACGACCCTCCACAGGTTTTGAATTCAGAGTTGTCCTTCTCCTAGACCAGTTGCCATCCAAGGCTATAGAACCCAGTCTGTCCTGCTATTTTACCCATAGCTGGAGGGAGAGGATTCATACCTTTCCCAAGGGTATTAGCACGTAAGTGAATGTAATGGATTCAACTGGAATAAAACTAATATATATATAGTTTTATGCTATAACATATATATTAAAGTGCTCCATATCAGGGATAGGGCATATATAAATATAAAAGTGGACATTGAAGTCAACACCCAGAGCCGACAGTCTGTTTCATGTTAAAAACACTTGTCAGGCCATGTGCATTCTGTTTTTGTTTGACTACTTATATATATACAGATCAGTGATGCATTGTGGGTAATCTATTGTATCATTCTAACTGTTATTTTGGTGTGTGGTAACGGTTGTGTTTTAAATTATTCTAAGGGCTCTAGAGTGGGAATAATAGTGAATCCAAATGCAGTTTTTTGGTTATTTATAGTGTTGTTTGTTAACTTTTTTCTTATTATTATTGATTATTTTATTGTTGGTTGTTATTAGTACATTTTCTTGTGTTTATGCATGCATTTTATATAAATGTCAGGTTATCTCAATCCAAAATATTTATATAAAATACAGCATAAGAATGATTAACTTTGTGGTCTTAGGTGCAATAAAAAGTTGTTTGTAAAAAAAACAGCTGGCCATTCTCTAATATAAATCAGGATTCAGAATATTGCATTTCTCAAAGTACTGTCTATTTTTAAACTGCATAGAATTCCCAGAATTATAATTATTTTTAAGGTTGAAAAAGCACAAGTATTGATATTGATTTCATAACAAAGCAAAGCTCGATCTCAACTGGTATCCACATTTGTGAGTCACATAAAAATACATGTCCAATTTCTTTATAGTTATCGTAATTGGAAAATTTAAACTTAAAAAAATGACTTCAAACATAAAAAGAGAAATTACAAACAAGAAAACCAAATTTAATTTTGTTAAATATTTATGTTATTTTACAGTCTCTTTGCTGAAAAGTTGCTGTCCCATCCCTGCATTGTGCTGCGTAGACAATGTCAGGTAAGTTTTATTTTGAGCAGGTATACAATTAGAAAACTAAATAATCCTTTCCTTTCTTATGAAATTTATTCTCTAAAAAGAAAGTAAACACTATATAATGTTATTTACAATATTTACATGTGGATTATTGTTCTAATCTTTGTTGTTGTTATGTTTCAGTCATTGTGCCCTCTGGCCTTCATCAGGTGTATCCAGGTAACCTACAGGGAATTTTGAAATGAGTAGATTGTTCTCATTCCACTGCCCATATCTAGGAATATCTCCTCTATTTATTATTTTAATACTGCTCAGTTATTGCTCACCCTGTTTCTACTGAGTCCAAGTACATACTGCCTGGCCCAGAGATTGAACTCACAATTACTATGTCACCCAAATTTATGGACCAACACTTTAATCTATTAGGTTATTGTCATGTAGAGGAACTTGGAGCCTTAAACCTAACTTGCCTGCTGATGAGTGCTGCTTCTGCTACAACACCATGCAAAAATCATAAGCAGTGACCCAGACACATACCAACAGGAAATGATCAGCATCAGGTGCACTTGTTATTCTAAATAACTACCCTGCAAACACGTCTGCAGGTGGAAAAAGAAGTGTCACGGAGGACAACCAGAAAATTACCATGGTCTGTCTGTCTTACGTCAAGGGCTTATTGGAAAAGATTCAGAAGATCTGTGATTGATAGAACATCAGAAGCAGCTTCGATCTACAGAGAAATCTCTGCTGAGTCAAGCCTAATACAAGGGAGAACATGGTCAAGAACTGTGTGTACTAGAGTTGGTCGGTTTAGCAATTTGTTTCGATTTTGTTTTCCTTGATACTGTGTTTTTCGATTCAGTTTTTAATTTAGTATTTTTGCTTTCTAAAGAAGCCATTTATTGGAAATATATACATCTTAAAAGTGAAATTAAAAACTATTTTAATTATTCTTCATATCTAATTTAGTTACATTCCCTTGATAAAAAACAAAATTATTTATAAAAAACATCTTCATACATTTTTCTTGTTAACAACTTTATTTTGTGATTAGCATAATACATAGTAACTGTGAGTTCAATCCCTGGGCCAGGTACTATATCTGGGCTCAGTTGAAATGGGGCAAGCAATAACTGAACAGTACTAAAATAAGAACTAGATGAGACATGTGCTGTGGAATGAGAACAATCTACATCCGTAGATTAAATATGTTCAAAATTCCTTGTAATTTACAGGGGATTGACATACATGTACAGAGGGCACAAAAATTCAAGTCCACTATAATGCTAAATCCTATCACTTGATTCCATTCACCCTATTTCAAATTGTTTCATTCTTCATTTTCAGGTCCACTATAATGCTAAATCCTATCACTTGACTCCATTCACCCTATTTCAAATTATTATGAATCTTCAACAAAAGCAGGTGAGTAATTGCCATCCAAAATACAAACAAATTAAGAGAAAAATAATGAATTCAAAACCATAATGTAATTTTCGGTAATTTATCCACAATGTTGTTTAAATAAAAAAATGACTTGGCTATCTAATTCTTTTATACTTAACCTTTCAAATTACATTGGTTAGACAGTTCATAAAATACTACAGGCTTTAATACCAGAAGATATTTTTTGCTTTAAAGAGTGTTTTTGTTCTTCCTTTTACATATATAGAGACACTTCCAAAAGTAATGCCTTCAGTTTTTTTTTATGTTGGTCCATGACATCAGATATGGATGTCAGTGGTATGGCAGTAGAGGTTAAACCTCCCCATATCAGTAGCCCATATTTTTTTCTTGTTGCAGATAGCATTCTGGCAAAATGGCATCTGGTGTGAAAGTGCCTATGATGTAATAGTGTGTCATTCAGTACCTCTATGTGGAAAAAATTGCACCCACTGACATTCACTGATTTTTACTGAATGTTTATGGAAACCAAACAGTGGATATTAGTATAGTAATGTGTTTCAGCAGTGGTGACAAGCCACCTTCTGAATAGCTTTGCATAGTTGCCAACCCATGAAATGAAGAATACTCTCAAAATACTCAGTCATTGATGTTGACTATGGGAACAAGTAATGTTTTGTAACTGAAAACTTGCACTATCTAATGGCGTTATTGTTCTATCTGTATCTGTTATAATTTCTGTGTGTGTGTATATATATATATATATATATATATTATTTGGGCAGTAGCCTTCATTAAATAACTGATTGAAGGCCAACAAGCATTATTTGTTTGTTTTTTATGAGTTGTCTAATAACAGGATTGAGTATGTATATAAATTGTCCAATTTCTGAACACTTTTGGCTTTCATAAGTTATTAAAGCAAATCAGAATTACAGATTTGTAACTTTACAACACTTTCACTTCTTTATTAATCACATGACTGGTTATGTGCTTATTTTTACATACCTAATAGTTGAGGAAGTCTGACTACCACCCCCAAGACTCATGAAGACCAATTTTGCGCTTTTTGACACTTTAAATGCTTTTCTACATCTCCTTTTATTAAAATTCGACCTTGTATTAGACACCTAAGAATATTAAAATTATCTTCTTTGATCAGTTTAGCTTTGGTTCATTTCTTAAATCTAGAGAATGTGTTACTATGAAGCCTTTTCCTGTTTCAATGCAATTATCTTCTTTTCAGAAACATTACAGTAAAAATACATTATCTCCAAAGATGATAATTATTATGAATATATTCCTTTCATTCACACTTTTGTTGCTGTAGATGTACTTAAATGTCTTTTCAAAATTTACATTGCCTGCTGTTAATGTGTACATGTTTTCAAGAAACCATGAAATGTCAGTACCTAGCATTTATATTATAAACTATCACTTAGTACTATTTCCAAACCCAGAGTAGACATATAGTAGTGTATAATATAATCTGTTTTGTGATGTATTTTTATTATACTGTGTGCTGGAGGTGTTTTTTTTTTTTTTTTTTTTTTTTTTATATTAGTCTGTACTGCAGAATATTTGACCAAAAACCAAAATGGTAACAGCTATGAGAAATTATGGTCTGCGTCTTTATTGTCAGTTATTTCCAGTAAATGACAATTTCCTCGGTTTTTTTTTTTCTAAATCAGGCCAGTACAGCCAGTCAATAATGCTATAATAATGCAGCAGTGAAAGTGTTAAAAAGGTAATGTTTGCATGATGGTATAAAAAGATTTAGTTCATGACTGTGATCTAAAGAAACATTTTATTTACTGGACTATTATCTTCACCTTTCTTAGGGATTTGCTGCCTTATGGAAAGGAGTTGGTAGTACATTTGTAGTCAAAGGATTGCTACTTGGCACTGAAACGATCATTGATGAGACAACATGGCTCCCAAAGTAAGTTTTCTTTTTCTTCAGAAAAATAAGTTGGCAAAGTTTAACAAACATATCTGCAAAAAACAGTATATCAAAAGGATAGTTTTTCTCTTCATGCTGCTATTACTGTGTACTCCTTTGACAGTTTTTATTGTTTTAAAAAACTATTTTTAGAATTTTAATAAAAACCAAGCATAAAGCTCGATTTATGCATTTTGGTGTGGGAGATATTTACAACAAATATATTAAACTCTAGCTTAAATGCTTTCCTTTATTGGGTGGCATTTAAGCTAGCTCCTGTGGAGGGCTCTTGGTTGGACCTTTGGCTTGTTCTGGAGAGTCCCTGAGTATTTGCATATTCTTTGCATTGGAAGCTCTCCTGGCTGTTGTTTGATCTGGGTTTTCATTTGCATGGGACTATCTTTTACTCACTGCAGCCTTGATTGTAATCTTGTCTTCTGTTGTTTTTGAGTGAGGCATACTGCTCAAAATTTATTGTTGCATTAATATTTAAGCTTGCCTTTTAAAAGTTCTCACAATAATTCTTCTGCCGCCACTTAATTTAAAAAACAATTTAATGTACGTAGGTCCTTACTTTTCGTACAATTATTTTTATTTCATGCATGACTTTCACTAAATTTCACAATTAATTTTAATTATTTCCAAGTTATAAAAATTGTTATTGTACAAAAAAATTTGTTGCAAAATATCATGTAAAAAAAATCACTGTAATGAAAACTTGGGAATCAAAAATTTTGGGATTACAGGTCCAGATCCAGCCCGAAATGTTTTTAATTTGCTCACAAAGTCGGATGAATTCCCAAATGGTATATGTTGGGCTACATACAGCCTCCATGAGTAAAGTTGAAAAGTGTGATGCACTGACATTTGCATTTATTTATATAAATTATTTATTAGATTTTTTATATTTACAGTCTTATAAATGTGCAAACCACCTCAATCAGTCAGTTATGTGCCATATGTGATACATGCTTAGGCGATCATGTATCTTTGGATACATGACTGACAAGGCAGATTTTTTCCTGCAGTAGGTTACCATTTCTTTCTGTGGTAGACCAGTTGTCATCCAAGGCTATAGAACCTGGTCTGTTCTGCTACTTACCCATAGCTTTGGGGAGAAGAAGAGGATCTACAATGCAATATTTATTATTTACCATATTGTAAAAAAATAACTAGGAAAACCAATATTTTATTCATAGAATATAAAAATATCTGCAAACAAGAAAATTTAAATCAGCATGTAACAAAAAGTAATCAATTATAAATTTTAAAACAAATGTATTTTCTGGCCATTTCACCATAAAATCACTAAAATAGGTTGAGAGCCAAGAAAAAAAGCCAGTTTCATATGTTTGGATTTTGTTAAAATTTAAAAAAAAAATTTTTTGACGCACTATGTTTTTGCAAATTCATTTGTTAAACTTTGCCAATAAGTTGAAGCAATACATGTTCATTGGTAAAGATTATTGAATTATATAAATCTACAGGGGAAGTAATAGGGAAATCAATAATAATAATTATGATGATTGGCTACTCATTTTCTGAGTAAGCCCATCTGCTAAAGTGGCTAGCTAATCCCTGTTGCAGATGCTTGCTCAGGCCATTTGTATTTCTTCAAACAACATGTGGTTTTCACACTGCAACTATGCTGAATGGACATCAGTTACAGTTTTTGAGTGCGAGCATATCATTTGCATGACCGGTTTTTTATTAAGACCAGTACACTCAGACCCTCGATCACGATGACTTGTGACTATGTGGTAGCACAACAATAAATAATAATATAAATAAAACTATAATAATAAATAAATATAATAAAACAAAATTGACGAGTCAAAGTTAACAAAATAATATTTAATCATCTTAACAAAATAATATTTAATCATCAATCTACATATGAAAATTATAAAACAAAATCAAAAAATTAGAACAAAAAAACTTAAAGTAGAATAATGGTTCTTAAACTTTTTTTCTCTGGGCCACATTTTCGAAATGAAAATATGCTTGCACTCCACCAAATTTTATGTGATACAAGGTACATTTAAAAATAAAAGACAAAGATAGGATTTGAAATCAAAATTTTATCATTGATATCTCTCGCCTCCTATTTGCAGACTCAAGTTACTATATTCTTAATACTTGATATAATGCAGAAATATAACAGTGATAAAATCAGTCAATAATTATTTATACTGAGACTCCTGCAAATAATTACAAGTAATCCATAATAATATTTTAAATTTTGAAATCATTTATTTTTAGCATGTGAATCTTTTGAAACTGTTTCTAAATCTTTGATTGGCACCATTTGGGAACCACTTGCTTCAAATGCACTTTTTTTTTTTTTTTTTCCTAAATCAACCAAAAAATTGACTTAAATAATAAACAACAGAATCCAATTAATTATTGTATAAAGATGCTTTGTACCAACTAACCTATTGTGTCTACCCCATCTTGTATTTACTTTGTTAAATTATATTTTATTTGTTAAATTTTTAATTGTCATAAGTCCAATCGGTTATTTTCTTTTTAATTAAATAAAATGTTTAACTGTTATTGTAACTTCCTCGAATTTTATGAATATACAAAATATATAACTATGTATTCATGATTGCTTCAATTAATACGTTTACTATGAGTTGGCGATTTAACTTCATCTCTTAATTTAAAATATTTTTACAGAGAAATATCGGCCCATAGTTCACTAAAAAAGTATCTTGAACACCTTCTCTTGAAAAGGTAAGTACTAAGTTTTAATATTCTATGAAGTTATTTATTGTTTAACTCTCTATAAAAGAATTGATTAATATTTTTCTCAAGTAGTTTCTGAGGACTATATTGTATATTTAACAGCAAGGAAGAATAATCCACAAATTTGTCAACTTCACATATATACAAGTTTCATTGAAGATGATTGACAAGGCACTGTGGTTAAGATTTTATTAAATTTTTTTTGTGTTTGTACAAGTATTTTCTTTTCTGGACTTAAGATGTGTAAAAACTGTCCAGTGGGTCTGATTGCTTTCAGCTAATCTATCAGCCATTATCATGAATGTTTTTTAACTGAATATGCAGGTTTTTATACACACACGCACACACACACACATTTATATGACGAAATATAGTTTTAAGTGTGTGAAACTAATCCAAGTAACCTTTTCCAACTGACCAAGTCTCTCTGTACAAGCAGTACCATGTTAAAAAAAAATAAAGGAACTATCTATACTCTTTTGCATTGTGATTTTTATGCCCAGCTGATCTCATAAGAAAATTTGCATACATTCATCCACTCTCGCAAATTCTCCTAGTTCCAAGACTGTGTCATTCTTAAATTAAGGTGTCATAGTGGCCATATTTCTCTTTCCTTTCCTTCACTCTTTTGCATGCCAGGCATATACGTGCTCACTTTGCCACACAAGGTAAGTCATCTTCTCTTCGACATTAAGGTATTTATTCTCTGTTTATGGGTTAAAGTGCTAAATATCAGGGATATAAAAGTGTACATTGAAGTCAACACCCAGAGGCAACAGTCTGTTTAATGCTGAACACAATGGTCTGATGATTGTGTTTAGCATGAAACAGACTGTTGCCTCTGGGTGTTGACTTCAATGTCCACTTTTCTATTTTTTTTTTTTTTTTTTTTTTTTTTTTTTTAAATAAATAAATAAATATATATATATATATATATATATATATGGGGATGGGAATTTCTTTTATATTATTATTTTATTATATACTGGCATAAATATTATTAGTACCCATAGAAATTTATTTTAAAAACTATAAGATTGTTGGAAGTTTCTTGAGAATCATGAAACCATAGCTAATACTAAAAGAGCAGTCTTAGGAAAAAAAACATCTTTGTAAACAGTATTCTTTGTTATACACTACTTGTCACATATTCTATTTTCATTTTGCAATCTTTATTGATCCTCCAGGTATAGTTTTGATCATTGCATGTTTATAAATTTTACAAAACTTAAGTGCATTATTTAAATGAAGAAAAATAAATATTTTAAGCCCTCTCATTCTTGATCTCTATTTTTTTTCACTTTGGCTTTAATCTAAGACACCCATGTATATAAATAGTCCATTTCCCTGTTTCTTTCATCCAATTATCAAAATTAACTCTTATTAAACTACCAAACCTTTCACTTTGTTCAAGTATTACATTTCACAAAAGCAGCTGCCTCCCAGCAGAAAAAAAAACAATAAGTGTGTATTTGAAAATAGATTTCACCTTGCAAAATAATTAATCTTATTTTGATTTATTTAAATAATGAAATTTTTAGTGATACAAGTCTTACTAATTAACCTATAGCTGGAGAGAGAAGAGGTGGATTTATACCTTCCCCAAGGTATAGGTGGGTAAGTGAATATAAAGAAACTGGAATTGAAACTCCACTCTCTGAGTAACAATTCTGAATGATTTGGATAATACACCACCCACACATCCAAGCTCACAGCACCTGGTATTCCCAAGTGGTCACCCATCTGGGTACTGACTAGGCTCGACATTGCTTAACTTTGGTGTTTGTATAGCAACTAGTATTTCAATGTTTTTTGTGAGGAGAGTAAATCCCAAATGAAAACTGTCTCTATTCTAGGAATATCCCACATGTGGTGTGTGACATAATTTGACATGGGGCATATTGAAGGCAAGACAGACATAGGAAAACAGCAAGAAACTTACCTAATTAGCTTGTGTAAATGGATAGCAGAACAGGGAGTAGGAGGGATTGTAAAATGACAAATATTGCATAAGATGTTGTAAAGAGCCATAATCGCCCATGTCCTGAAGAAGGGCAAGGTTATTCAAATTGACAAAAATCTGCTCATAAACACAAAATATCTCAAAATGAGATGAAAGAAAAATCATAGAATCAAAGAATACCCAAGAAAAAGCACTAAGAAAATTCCCAAGTCAAAATGACTTAAATTTGACAAATATTGTAAGTGTAGATTCTTCTTCTAGCCATGTCCCTTCAGGACATTGACGATCATGACTCTCCACAATTTCCTGTCCTTTTTAGCTCTTAGTAAATTTTATCTTTTTGTTATTTCTCCTAAATCCTATTCTTCCATCTATTTACACAGGCTCATTAAGTAGGTTATGCACTGTTTTCCTCTGTCCCTCTTGACTTCAGTATATCTTATGAGTGTCAAATTTTCCAAGCCCTCTTTCCTCATTATGTACTCTAGAAATTACAGTTGTCTCTTTCTGAAGTATAAGTGTCCTTTTTGTTTTCATTTTCTCTAAAGATTAAATATTGCCTGCAAGAAAATATTTAATTTGGTTGAATTCAGCTAGAAAATTCTGAGACTGCAAAAAAGGTATTTTCTCAGCTGAATGTCGAAATTTTTCTTAGTAGGTGAATATTGTAGGTTCATTGGTTAAAACATTTTTTTTTTTTATTAGTAAGCAATTCTGGATCAAACAACCTAGATTGTAGTTGTATCAATTTCTTCAATTTGTTTACTTGTTTTTTTTTTAATAAATTTGAGACAATGAAATAAATTTTAAATAAGTTTTCTGTTTTTGCATCTTTTCAGCATTTCTTTTGCAATTAATACACCTTTTTTTGCTGCTGTTCTCATCGAAACTGTGCAGGTAATTCATTTTTTCATAATTTATTTTTTAATATTATATCTAGTCTTCTCTTTCATCAAAATCTTGACCTCAAGGGTCAGTTGACATCTTTCCTCCCTTATCTCTATAATCTTCATGCCTGCCATTCATATCACACACCTCATTCACCATTAACGTTTTTACTGTAGCTATCTACCTTGGGTGGCTCTCAAAACACAGGTGGGTGAAATTTAGTATATATATTAAAAAAAGATCAAATCAAATCTTGAGTATTAATTGAGAAGGAAATCTATCTGGAGACATTTTATAGAGAAACATTATTTTCTTGATATCATAACACCATCACAAAAAAATAAGGTGCAAATGTTTATTTTGATTTTAAATTTTCAAAATCCTTTCATGAACAAAATTTCAGAAACAAAAAATCTATTTAGGTATCTGTAAACAATACATTTGTTTTTTAAAATATGTAACTTTACAATGTTGTATTGTTTAATGACTTACTGTAGTATTTAATATTTATAAACCAGTATTTATTTTTTATTAATATCTTGCATCTGTAATAATCATACCCCAATCCTGCTTATAAATTTTTGAAAAAATTCCAACACATTTTTGTGAAAGATTTTTAGAAAAAAATTTAAATTCTTAGAAAATGATCATTTATAATTGCGAAATTGATTTGATACATATTCTGAAACTTGGATTTTGAAAAGATTTTCATCTGCTTACTTACACCCAACCCAAGTTTTATTCAAAATCCAAGATTACAAAGATATTAGCAAAACATTTTAACAAGTAATATAGTCCCTGACTGTTAGATTTTGTTTAAAAAGAACTGTCACTACTTCAAGAGTAAATGATTAAAGCAATCATTTACTCTTAGGCATTTATCTTTATTTGTTTGCTGAAACAAATGCTCTATTACTGTTCGTAATTTTTTGAAGCAAATAAATAAGATTTCAACTAGCCTGGTTTTTGTTAAATTCATTCCAACTTTAAAAATAGCTTCATATAATTACTATTTAGGATAATTTCTGTTTTTATAAATTTCGCTTCAAATATTTCTAATGTAAATTGTATAAATAAAAATTTGACAGCTCATCCTTCCTAAATATTTTAAAGAAGTTAAACCTTGAAATACTTTTTAGAAATTTCACAATAGTTTGAATATGAATGTTACAATTTGCATTGTGTTCAGCATTTGATGTATTGCAAAAGAAAAAAAGATTTTGAAAAGTGAGTAGCCATGGTTAAATGTAAAATAAATAAACTGCCCAATAAAGAGATTTGTCAAAGCTTGCAATAAACAGTTGCAAAAAAAAAAGAAAATAATAGGGCAAAAACTAATATAAAGCTAGCAAACAATATATGAAAGGCAAATTAACTGTAATTAGACAACAGTAATATGGCAAAAAGTTCTCAAGCTAAGAATTGGGGTTAACAGACACAGGCAAGTTTAGACCAGCAGAGTTCTGACTTCAAGACAAGACAAACTGTCCTATTTTATTGGCTAGGAAAAAATCCCAGCATGCATTTGTGTGCTTCTGTCTATAAATTAGGGAAGGATAAAATAAGGATAAAAGAAAAAAAATAAAAAAGACATATGAACAATTTGTACCTAAAGAAAGGGGCTTTTTGTAGGTTCCCTGTGATATGTTGGATTGAATAGTGATGGATTTGTTCTTGTAGCAAATGAGCAAATTGTAATGGATGAATGGGTTGTGAATTTGATTAGCAGGGTCTAGGATAGTTATTGTTGACCAACACTGCCCCACTTTCCTTTTAGGTTTGTGCCAAAATTGTTTTTTAAAAACAATAAATAATCATTCCTAATAGGGATTGAAACAAACAGGCTTTCATTGTAAACCTGATCAAAACTGAAAGTACAGCATTAATCACAAATGATATAAATGTAACAAACTTTTGACAAAAAAATAAAACTACTTTAAAAGAAAATCTTTAAAAACTTTAAACATAATTGCTAAAAATGATTAAATAATTTATTAAATGATTTTAAAAAGTTTTTTTCTGTGTATCTTATTTATTTCATTAATGGTGGGAAAGAAATATTTACCATAAAAAGGAATAAGTTGGTTATATCATTTAGAAAGTTTAAATGTATGGGTGTCATGAATTTTAAGAGATTTACTTGCAATTATTATAGTATTTCCTAAAATCAGTTATTGGCTATAGGTAATCTTTTTTTTTTCTTGAAGCAGTTGTATACAATAAATTATCAAGAGATTCAGTTTGTCTTTTTTTTCTTTTGTTTTTCTTTCTTTTTTTTTTTTTTCTTTTTTTTAAGCAGTGTGGCCTTGAGTTTTTTTTTGTTTTTTTTTTAATTTTATCAATTTATTTCTTTTGATGTCATCATGTAGTTGTAAAATCATTTGACATGCAACTTTGTTTTCTGACAACTATTGTAACACTTGTAATTTAATTTCTATTTGAATTTATTGGATATTATTTTGCTTCTAGAGTGACATTGGTGGTGAGAAACCAGGCTTGTTCGACTGTGTGAAAGAAGGTGTTACTAGAGTTATGGGTATTGGAATGCCTCAGACCACACGCCTGCTTCCTATCTACAAACTAATGCTACCCACAGCAACGTATTGGCTACTTGATTATGTAATAACCTCCATTGCTCAGTATACAGTTATGTCTGCAGTTCATTCAGAACAACAAGACCAGGTAAGTTGCAAAAATTGTTTTATGCTACATTGAGATTATTTTTTCAAATATTCATTTTACAATGTTTATACTTTGTATTTATCTGCTTCTCTCTCTTCTCATTTGTGCCATTTGACTCCCCTATGGACAATAAGCCCACAGGCTCACCACCCTAGATATTACTGCTGCAAGTAGGTTTTTACACAATAAAATTACCAGCCTCATGTCAAAGCAGTTTTGAATTCAGAGTTGTCCTTCTCCTAGACTGGTTGCCATCCAGCTAGAGAGCCCAGTCTGTCTTGCTATTAACCTCTAGTTAGAGCAAGAAGAGGTAGATCCATATCTTTCTCAAGATTATTTGTGTAAAAGTGGACACAAAAACTCTGCTGTCAGTTCTACTTTCTGTGGTGATAGCTGCTAAAATAAACATGTCTCTTCTCTTTCAAAAGGTTATTAAAGCCAATTTATTTTTTAAATATATTCTATTAATAAAACTAATTTTATAATAAACTTTTGCAACTGACCCAAATAATAAAACATATTTAACCATTGCAAAAGTTCAGATCATTGGCACATGTTGTCTAAAAGCATTATTCTTTCAAACAAAGTCTTTTTTGCACTAGTTTAAACTAGAAAATATTTTATTGTATGTAACTATGGTTGTTTAAACTGTTAAAAATCTCAGTTGAAACTTCTAAAAAACCATAGACATGAAAATGCAAATTCAGCATTCAAAATAACCATGCTTCTAATAAGGATTAATATCTGTTTATCCTAAAATAAATATGTGATGTGTAATGATTATTACTAGCAAGACCTATATAAATTACACAGATTTACAAATAGATTTTTTAATGTTTCACTCTGTACGTTTCAACCCATGGCTATTCTGAGATAGTTATAAGAAAAGTGACATAGTCTCTCTTAAAAATACTGAAATATTCTTAACAGATCACTAGGTCACAAAACATGATTTAACGCCTCACTACAAACAACTGCCTTTATCTAAGATGCCCTTCACTCCAATCCTCTTTATATTGCACTCTCTTTTTGTTTATCTACACACATCCCCACTCCCTCTCTCTCTTTCTGTTTTTCTCTCTATATCCCTTTCTCTTTATGTTGCTTTCTTGGATGCTCAACATAGTTTGTGATTTCCCTCAGTCTGTAACAAATTCACAAAAAAAGAAATGAAAGAATGTTTTTAATTTCAAAAGGTCACTTGCAGTTTAGGGGCAAATTTGTCCTCAACAGATCATTAGGTTACAAAACATGATTTAATCCCTCCTTACAAACAACTGCTTTTATCTAAGATTCCCTCACCTCAAATCCTTCTGTGTTGATTCTCTTTTTGCTTATGTCCCTCTCAGTCTTTCTGTTTTACTGTCTATGTCCCTCTCTCTTTTTGTTTCCGATCTTAGTATTTGTGATACCAAACATGGCATCAAGTCATACGACCTCAGATAGCACCTTTCGTAGAGTATTTGCAGTGCCAACCAATGCAGACTTCTGAAGTTTTAGGATTATTATTTATATTATTATTATTTGCAATCCTCTCCAACTTTTAGATAGTGATGATGGTCATATCTCAACTCTTTAGCACAGGAGCTGTTGTTGTTATCATTATTATTGTTATTAATCAAAATGACACATGACCCAGTGGATAAAAGCATTTGTTGGATCCAGTGACTTGACCCAAAGTATTATGTGATCAATACCTGGCTACTACAGTTGGGAACAAAACTTGGAGAGTTAAGTTAAAGGGAGATAATTGTGACACTCAAAAGAGGCACGGCACGTGGCACTATAACAATCTACCCCAGTTGATGAAATAAAGGCTTCAGTTCAAAATTCCAATCACTTGAAGAAAGCTGGAGTGTAAAAAACGTCGTTAATATGACAATAAAGATGAGAACAACAGTATGAACAATATAAATAATATTAATGATTGATGTAATTCTTCCACTGTTTTTGATACTTCCAGAAGAGTACAATTTCCACAAAAGAAAAGAAAAGACAGTGTTTAACAATATTTTGACAGTATGTCTGTTTTCTTCAAGTTGTACATAAAACATACTTCTTGTTTTATGCATAATTTTTAGAAGACAGACGTACTGTCAAAATTCTGTTAGACATTGTCACTTCTCTTTTTCTTTTCTGAAAATTTTGCTCTTTTGGAATAGTTGTTATTATTATTTTATAATTTTATTTTTATTGACCTGTACTTTTTAAAATTTTATTTTTCCAGGAAATGTCTGGAGTGAATATGCAACAAACGTGTTTTCCTGAGCTTTTGGCTCAGTACACAGGCGGTCTCCTCTCAAATGTATTATTGTTTCCTATGGAGACCGTACTCCACCGTCTCTACTTACAAGGCACACGTACAATTATTGACAATACAGATACTGGGCTTGGCGTTATCCCAATCAACACTAAATATGAAGGAGTCATTGATTGCTTTAAAAGTATTTTCATGGAAGAAGGAGTCTTTGGATTTTATAAAGGAATTGGCTCACTAATCTTACAATATGCTCTTCATGCACTTGTCTTAAAAGGAGCATTCTTTTTGTTCAACACTTTCACTCGTGATATGAATTCAGTTCGTAAGTCAACACCCACTACAATGGTAAGTATATATTAATTTTTAATGTTTTCCATTATATTTTTAAGAATAATATATTTTTTAAATGTTTCTTCTGTGTAACTTATGAAAAATTACAATAAATGTTTAGACAAGTTACAGATATTAGTTATAAATTGTAAAATTCCTTTGTGTGTGTGTGTATATATATATATATATATATATATATAATTTTACTCCAAGCCACTAAAACACCAGGGGTTACTGAGTGTTAGAAAATATGAGAAATAAAAGAACAGGAATTAAGAAGACAGAAGATAATGATTGATATTGCATTTAAATTTTTGAAGATCAAAGTTGACTGGAAAGCAAGAATCCAGAAGAGAGTTCCACAAGCGATAAGTGCAATAGAAGAAACTATTAACATAGAACTTATGGTTACATCTAGTAATTTCAACTGTAAAATGGTGAGACCTTGCACCAATCTAGTAGTATGCTTAAATTCGTGTAAAGTCTAGATATCATAAAGGAAAGTTCGTCAGAACAATTACCATGAAAGTATTTATAGAAAAGGCATGAGGAAGTTATTTTATGGTGGTGGTAAAGTGACTGAAGCCAAAATGCCAGGATTAACAACATTGCTTCTTTGTATTTTATCAAGAATGTCTAAATATATAACAGGAGCACCAGACCAGATGAAACAGTATTCAAAGCAAGGACAAATGGTAGACTTATAAATATATAAGTTAGATTCTGGCAAGAAAAATTACCTAGCATGACACAGTCACTATCCTGGAGGTTGGTGTCAGCCATATTTATAAAATTACTTCTTTCTTAAAATGCTTTTTAAATTTGCTATCTTGATTAAATAGTTAGATTTTACAGAATAAATTTTAGGCAATGTTTAACCTTTTCACCTGCAAGAAAAAAAACAAGGTGTCAGAAGGATGATTATTCCCTTGACACTGCTATTACTTCTGTTTATAATTATGAGATGAGGTATTGTAACTATTTACACTATTTACATTGTTCAGGCTGTTGTTGCCACATTCACAACATTTCTGCTGTTGTACACACCATCATTCTTCAAGTGATATTTGTTGGAATTTTGAACAGAACCATTTCTTTAGTACATGGTGGGATAGATTGTTCTAATTCCACATGCCATACCTTTTGGATATCTCAGTTTTAGTTAATTCCTCTTGAATTCAACTCTTCAAGTTTTTGTTCTTTCTGCTGTGGCCAGGGATTGGGTCAAGTCACTTTCTGGATCAATCAACCAACACTTTTATCCATTGGAGACATTGGTGAGTAAATTTTGGGGACTCATTAACTACTACTGGACTATGTGAACTGAATAAAGACCATCGATACAGTCCACAATGGAGAAAGAAAACAACAATAAACTAGCATTCCTGGATGTTCTAATATACTGAACAGAGCCTGGGTTCAAGACATCCGTATACTACAAGCCAGCATTCACCAGACAATACCTCAACTTTAACTCTCACCACCCATCTAATGTCAAGAAAGGGATCATCCGCTGCCTACAGCATTGAGTAAAAGTCATGCGACAACCCAGAGGCATGAACAAGAAATAGTCAATATAAGCAGTACTGTAAAACATAACAACTACCCTGGGTTCATGACAACAGCTCCAACAAACTTGGATAGAAGGGTACAAGATAACAACACTCAGAAAACAGCCTCAGTCTACCTACCCTATGTGAAGTGATTATCAGAAAAGATACAAAAGATCTGTGGTCTATATAACATCAGGACAACCTTCAGGAGTTGTTCAATACTATGTAGACATCTCTTCCAAGTAAGGCCACTGATAGAGGAGAACAGGATTAAGAATGGTGTGTACACCATCCTGTGCAGTTGTAGTAAGAAATATAAAGGAGAAACATGCCAACCTCTTAAGATAAGACTGCAGGAACACCATAAGGTTATAACAAGAAGGGAAATTGAAAAATCAGGCATGGCTGACCATATATGGAGAGAAAAGAGAGATTTTCACCCTCAGTGGGATGAAGTTGAAATAATAGAGGACATCACTGGAAAATACAAAAACTTGAGGAATCAGCACATATGCTAGGCTACAAAAATCTCCTAAGCCGGCCAAGCATAGAAATGAATACAATATGGGAACCAGTAATACAATGTGCTAGGGAAAAACAAGAATAACAGAAAATTGTAATATGAGCTCTGGTAAAAAACGGTTATTGAGACATTAGGTTTATAAGTCCAAAAAATTCACTCAACAATGTCCCCAAGGACAAAAACACTGGTTGATTGATGTAAAAAGTGACTTGGCCCAAAGAGTTGTGAGTTAAATCCCTGAGATGGCACATGGAATTAGAACAATCTATCACTGTGGACTAAACAACAGGTTCAGTTTTAAATTCCAACAAATATCACCTGAAGAAGTCCAGAGCATACAATGGTTGAAACATCCTGAATGTGGCAATAAAGACGAGGACAATAATGTAAATACAGCTATTACTGTATACACTTTTGACTTGCTCAGCAATTTTTATTGTTTTAAAAAGCAATGATTAAAATTTTAATAAAATCCAAATATATGAAAGTGGATTTAAACATTTTTTTTATTGTTGAGAATTAACCACAAAGATATTAACATTTATTTATCAGATTGCTTATTTGCAAGAATAATTTTATATCTACAAGATTATAGAAATATATGAACCAACTATAATAAATTACTTGTTCTATAATTCATTGATATTTTATAAAATAATGAATAAAAATTTGTTTTCATAGATATTTATAAAATGGTAAATAATAAATCTTTATAAAAGGTAAATACTAAATATCACATTGTACTTGGTTCACATATTTTTATAATCTTCTAAATAAACATTGCTGAGGGAGTCAAAAGTGTATACAGTGATAACAGTGTCCAGGGAATAATCGTCCTTTTGACACAAGATGTTTTTATTGCAGGCATAATGGTTCAACATTGCCAAATTTTATTTGTATTTAGTGACTGTTTCATTAGTATTTTTATCATACTATATTTAATAACATATAAAATCCACTCTAATTTCCCCAGAATATTAAAATGTCATAAATTTGCATGAAAAGAAACTTCTTTTGAATTAGGAAAAATACAGAATATAGATGAAGTTCAAATAACATTTGATGTACTATCCAACAATTTCCTTCTTAATATTCCCTGAAGAAATTGGTGTCCTATATACCATCCAATATACTAAATTTTGACCTCTGATGTCAGAAGTAGTAATTAAACCTCTAAAGCCAGAAGGGCCCAAATGCACATACAAGTTTCACACATTTACAGTCTGAGAATCACTGAATTTACCTGCAATTGAGTAACAAGACATAAATATTTTATATAGTAATATAAAATATTTGTCTTGTTTTTCTTTTTTAAATATTTTATATAGTAATATAAAATATTTGTCTTGTTTTCATATTTAAAAAAGAAAAAACAAGCTCACTTAAAATTTTACCTGCTTAAGCCTGTATAAAATGTTAATAGCCCACTATATATTAGTATATATATATATATATATATATATATATATATATATATATATTATATGAAAAGATTACTTAACTTTTAAATATCAATTTTAGCCCAACTTTGAAGTTTCTTGGTAAAATTTCTAGTCTTTAGGAGTTGTGCTTTTAAACAGTATTTCCAATTTTTTTCAATTTGTTCATCTTTTTCAACCAACTTTTATATATATATATATATATATATATATATATATATATGTGTGTGTATATGGCACAAACATGAGATGTAAAAGAAGATGAAGAACAGCAAAGGGTCTAAATGAGGGTGAGGAATAAAATTTAAAGAGAGACATTAAGTAAGTTTTAAGGAGTGAGATTCAGATAAATACAAGTTATTGTCAGTTGCATAAATCACTCCAAGTATAGGATTGGTGTATACAGAATAAATTCCAATAACCAACAAATACTATTTTTAAAACAGTGTTCAATACAGAATAGACCAAATATAATTATTTATTTGAAAATTATAACATAAATATGTCATAAAATCACTATAAAAATAGCCATTTTGTTTCAACACTTCTGGTGTCTTATAAAGTGATGGTGTTGAATGTCAATGGCATTCAACACCATCACTTGATAAGACACCAGAAGTGTTAAAACAAAATGGCTTTTTTTTTTTTTTTTTTTTTAGTGATTTTATAACATTTATGTTATAATTTTTAATAAATAATTATATATATATATATATATATATATATATATATATATATACACACACACAAACCATATGTATACATACACACACTTATATATATATATAAAATAAAGGGGTAAGATTTATCTAAATGTACTTAAAAAACAAATTAGAAATAAGGGCGATAATGGTAACAATAATAGTAATAATAAAATAAAAATAAAGGAATCATGATAATGACAGAAATAAAACTAAAAAAATAAAAGATAATAATGAATAATAAAGATAAAATAATAGACGACAGTAATAATATCAGTAGTAAAATAAAAAATACAGATGATAAAAACATGAAAAAAAGTAAAGATTCAAATTAAAATGAAAAATATATTAGTAGTCAAGCTAAGATAAAATAAGAGACATGGGGAGATTAACGAGTGTACATCTATTATGTCTACAAATTGACCTAAATTCTAAAATCATATAAACCTCCATATATAAAAATATCTAGAAAACTATCCAATATTATATATCCATTATCCAGAAAAAATTTGATATAAACATACCAACATACACATATACCAACACTTAGATTAAAACTGCTAAAACAAATTAAAAAATATAAAGCACCACATCAACACAGACAATGATATACAGGTAATAACAAGTGTCAATCCATTTAAATGTCATATTCAATTCTAGGAATCCAAGTCTGAACTTTTATAAGGAACAATATGTTATAAAACTGTGTTTATGTTTTAAAGCATTGTTTATGTCTACATTTGGATATAATCTCACTTTGAAGATTCAGCAACTTTTCTGGATTTTTATCTTTAATTATAAAAAATTTTTCCAAAATGCAAAGATCACACCGATCATGGAAGTTACCGGGAGTTCTAGCTCTTGATATGAATCTCCATTTCAAATGCGGGGTACGTCCCTTGTCCACCAATTTCCAAAAGTGTTTGGATAAGGAAGTTTGTTTTTTATGGATCAATATTTGAAAGAATGTCTGTGGTTGTACAGACACTGCTTCCAATTACCAGCAGATATACCTATGTATCTTTTTATCAAGATGATACTTTCTTTTGGGAGAATTGTAGCTTCATATATTACATTCTCATACATACATTTTCCCCTGATTGGACATTCAGCACTACTCCTACAATTGCAGGTGGCATTATTAGCTAGAGCTTCACTATTATAAAAGTTCCTAAGTAGTTTACAATTGTGGAAGATATAATTTTCTCCACATTACTTACTCATGAATAACTAATTTTTAGTGTTTTCCTACTGAAAATTTTATATAGTGGATATATTTGTATATATGAGTGTGGAAATAAACAGTAGTGTTTATAAAAAAAATAATCGCCTGAGGATACCAGAAGGTTGAAACCAAGGTAGAGGATTCAACTGACCTCCTGATTTTTAAAGTTAAAAGCTGTATATATTATTTTTTACCTTCATTTTATTTTTTCATGTGTATTGAGTACTTTTTAATACTACTGTTTGCTGGTCTGATTCAACTCTGACCATTAACCTTTTATGTATTTTATTTATATATATATATATATATATATATATATATATATCCGATACAATGAGAATGAAAGTAATATATAAATTCCAACGTTCACAGCATTAATCCAAAAGAGGGCTCAATACCGATAGTAGAGCGATAATTATTTATTTATTATAATTTTATCATATAGACAAAACCATTTTACTCACTACAAAGATGCAACTTTGTTTCAGTGCATTTCAACTGCATTTCGACAGGTGAGAATCGAAAATGGTTATGAACAATCACTTCCTTTTTCCATTTGTCTGCAAGGTCCTGATCTGGCATCTTGACTACAGTCACTTTCCTACTGCCATAACATCATTTTCTTTCACTTTTTCTATAAATATTTTCATGGTAATTACTCTGATGCCTTCCCTCTTTGGTACCTCTCTATGAATTTAAGTGTACTACTAGTTTGGTAGCATGGTCGGCACAGTTTACAGTTGAAATAGCTAGATGTAACTATGTAAGTTCTATGCTGACAGTTTATTCTCTCACACTTCTCGCTTGTGGAACTCTTTTTCTGGCATCTTGCTACCCAGTCAACTTTGATCTTCAAAAATTTAAATGCAATGTTAATTGTTTTCTTTTATCTTAAATCCTGTTCTTTTATTGTTCTCTCTTCTTAATAATGTTTTCTTTTTCTCATGTTCTCTCACACTCGGTAACCCCTTGCATCTTAGAGGCTTTATTGCTATGTTTGGAATGAAATGAAAAAAAAAAAAGAATATTCAAAATAACTGACAAATATATAAAGATTTTTCATCCTATTGACAGTGAAAGCTATAAATTAACGAAATATCAATATTTCTTTTAAAATGCTTATAAAATATCTTTACACCTTTTTTATTTTTTGCTTCAATTTTTATATTCTTTTGTTGTTTTCAGCCTTCAGAAGATTTTGATCCATTCCAGCCGCGTTATAAGTGATGATTTGCTTGAAATGTGCAGACATATTGTGGTTGGAGAAAGTAAGGTGTACTGAGAGGCTGACAAGAACATAAAATCAGTAGATGATCTCAGTTGGGTTGAACATCCTTTTATTTTTAGATTTCCAAAAGATAATATTAAAAAGCTGCAAGAATGTTACATAAACATTGGAATCTATCATGTTTTGAAGTGGGCTGTATTCAAACAATATCCTGATAGAAAAATTATAAAGTTTATATACATATACATACATTTTGGGCAAGAAGGAATTATCTCATAAGAATATATATATATATATATATATATATATATATATATATATATATATATATATATATATATATACACACACACACACACACACACACATACCCATACAGTTTGGAAAGTTTCTACTTTGGCATGTTTTGCCAAGGAATTCTCATGAGAATTTTATTTCAGTTTCTTATGAAAAAAATTTATTTTCTCATGATACTATTTCATTGGCAAATCACATCAAAGTATAAATTTTCAAAAATGTGCCATATATACATCTATATAAAAGGAACTATATATATATATATATATATATATATATATATATATATATATATATTTGAAATAATTGATATGAAACTTATACATTACATAATTGATATGAAACTTATACATTACATGTATATGATTAATACACACATGCACACACTTGGAAAGATGATATTGTGGCTTCAATTCCAGATAGCCACAATAAAGTTAGTCACTATTTTTTTCCAGTGCATATAAAAGTTTTGTTTTCTCTATATTGTAATCTTAGATGTTTAATAGTATTAGCTCTAAAAAAAAAGTGTGTATATATGTATATATATATATATATATATGTGATTTAAAGAATACTTTATTGCTACCAGAATGTAACATAAACATGATGAACAAATTCCATTGGAAAAACGGTATCAATCAATTTGTTTGACACAGACTTATCACAAACCATAAATTTGTAAAAAGCAAAATATCTGCAAAGTATAACAAAAAAAAACAAAAAAAAAAAACAATGATTGGATATTGTGTGTGTGTGTGTGTGTGTGTAAAAACAGGTGGCATTCCAGATAATTTCTTTGTATTTTTCTTTTCAGGGTATTGTTTTTTATCTTTATCCTCATAAATAGAATGATGTCACACCTGACATGCATTGTTTTGCTGCATATCTAGATTTCCAGTTTGGAAATATCTTTAGTCACAATTAAAGCATATTCGTGACAACTACAGCTAAGGATTATTTACCTTTTGTTATTGTGATTTTTCTGTATTTTCTGTTTAATTTCTAAATGTCAAGACATAAATGATTTTAGTTGAATGCTTGCTCATGTCTTAAGTTATAATTACAAAGACCCTTAAATTCTTTCTTGTAAAATGCAGCATAATATAATAATCTTCAAAGTTCATAACTCATTTATATTTTGATATTTTTTTTTAAGAGTGATTATGGGATTTTTTACAATGGAGTGCTGAAAAGTTCTCAGACTTTCTCACTTGTCGAAATCTGACCAAATAACCCAACATCAGAATTTCTTTTGGAAGGTCTTGGTGAGGTTGAGAACTTTTCATACATTTAATACTGTCTCTTTGCTTTTTACATCTACTCACAAAATACTTCAACTGTTTGAATTGCAGAATTCAAATTCCTAATTCCACATTAGAAAATGCAGATACTTAAACTTTAGCTTTAAATTTTTCATTGCTTAAAAATAAAATGTTTGAATAATTTTTAGTAGAAAAGATCATCTTACAATCTAAGTTATAGCCAGAGTGATAAAAATACATTTTAATAAACTCCTTTGCATATTAAGAACCTTTTCTTTTGTAATGCAATTGCTGATTTTAGATGTATCAAGTTGATTACACCTGACAAAGAAAAACTTAGCAATAATAAAACAAATGTATAAATCAATTATAATCTGATCAATTTAACTCTTTCCCACTTGTTTTCATAATCAAAATTTTACATTTCTTTTTTTTTTCTGTTTGAAAAATTTCTTTAGATACTGCCAATGATTTTCTTAAATTTATTATTTCTTTTCACTGAGAGGAAGAGGTTTACATATTAGGATTAAATGTGAAGTGTACTGAATAAATGGAAATATATATATATTTTATCATTTTAAACGTTATTATTAATGGAATTATCATATTTGCTCTGTTTTTATATATTAAGCAGTATTCAGGACAGTAAGTGAAAATAAATAAATATACAGTTTAATTTATAAAAATGGAGCACGTACTCAAATCCATTAATAACAACATCTAAAGTGCTAAAATAATCTGTTGGATTAATAAAAATCCATTCCAAAAAAAAAAAATTAAAAAAAATCTGTTTACATTTGGATATAAGATTGTGTGTGTGTGTGTGTGTGTGTGTGTGTGTGTGTGTGTATATATTTAAATATAAAAGGGGACATTGAGGCCAACAGCCGGGCCATGTGGGATGATTGCGTTAAGCATGAAACAGACAGTTACCGCTGGGTGTTGACCTCAATGTGCACTTTTATATTTACATACACTCTGTCCCTGATATTGAGCACTTTAACTAATAAATATAGCATACTTTAAATTATATTTTAACTATATTTATTTATTTTCAGATCAGATCTACAGAGATTAAGAAAAGTTGATGATATAAACACATTTGTCATTTGACTAGTTTTTTGTTTTTTTTAAATTGTTCATTGCTAATCTGTCAATTTCTTAAGCAAAAAAAGATAATATAAATCACTAACATAGGATAAGATATTTAAAACAAAAAAGTAAGGTTTAACTTGGCCACTTGTGTTAATTGCAAACAAATTATGAGAAGCATTTTAAGTTCTTAAGCTTTACATCTTATATATTTTCTGCATTTTCCTCAAATTGAATAACTGCAAATTGGTTAAAAATAAAAAAACAGCAATGAGACAATTTAATGTAAAAATTTAAATTCTAGGCTGAGAATGACCAGGCAATTTGTGTTTGGCAACTAGTATAAAATTTGTATTCAGTAAACATTATTTTTTAATGATGACTGGTTATAAATTTTATAAAAACTATTTGTAAAATATCCTGTAATCGTTCTTCATCTAAAATTCTTAAGTTTCTAAAATAAGAGAAAATTCTCCCAAACTGTATGCCTATATTTGAATATATACATTTTTCAGTTATTAAAAAAATAGTGTACATTGACTAACTCACAAATGTAAAATAAATTTCTGATTATATTTATATTTATGCTTGTTTTGATTAAAAAAAAAAAAAAAAAAAAAAGAAATTCAGTATTTCTATCTATTGTAATTACAATGACTTTTTTCCTTTTGTTATTCAGTAGTCAATATTAGTTTTTCTTTACATGTTTTCCTCAATATAAATAGACATTCCTTTTGTGAACCATGTTTAACTCACCCAAATCCTCTTAGAATTTAGAATTAGAAATTTATCTTTCAGCCACAGAACTTTAATTATCTTTTGTATTTTTTATGGTAGAAACTTTTGAATAGTTAATAAGAGAAAACTCCATCCATCAAAATCTTTTTCAAAGTAAATATGTTGCTTTGTCTTACTGTTTTCAATACAATTTTTCAAATTTAAGCTGTTTTTTTCTTCCAATTTACTTCTACAAAATAAAATGGTAATCAGTGATACTAAACTATTATTTTAACAAGTTAGGTAAAATGTTTTTTTTTAATTCATGATTTAACTTCTTACATTTAGACTTCACTCATTCCACATATTTACCAATTTTTTTTTGTTTACTGACAAACATTTCATTATCTACAATTTTTATTTTTATTAAAGGCTGCAAATTTTCTGATTTTCACAAATTTTTACCTGTCAGTAACTTAAGACAATGCTTATATATAATCCTTATTTATATGTATATATATGTATATATTAAAAATTGTATAAGTTTGAGCTGAAAAGTTAGAAGCATTTCTGAAGAAAAAAAATCTGATTAGTCAAATTTTGGTGAAATATGTTGTGCTGAGAACTATGCAGCATATCCTTCATGTAATAGAAATCTTGAAAAACAAATATGTCATATATATACACTCATTTTCATATATATATATATACGTTTTTTTTTTCTTTACAATTGAAATTAATTCATAAGATTTTTCAAACTGTTTATTGTATCAGTTTGTAGTAGGAGTATCCCACTACAAACTGAGACCATAAACAGTTTGAAAAATTGTGCGAATTTTAAAATTAAAATCCATAGGTGAAAATGGTCACTAACTAAAAGTATCTTAATTTTAATTGTAAAGAAAATTTGCTCTGTTTAGTGAAAATAAACATTGAGCACTCTTTTGTGAGTCAGTTTTAACATATTTCAAATTCTATGTTGTGTTAATAGGACATGCCTGGATTATACCAATGGATTACTACCTGTGTGAGTGTATGTGTGTATATATATATATATATATATATATATATATATATATATATATATATATATATAAAATAAACACACATATAAATCTAATGTAAATCTATTTAAACTCAGTGGGTGAAAAATCTGGATAGCACAATTTTCAAACAAATTGGCACCTGAGGAAAAAAATTGGGGGGGGGGACCAGAAACCTCCTAACAGGGTGAAAGAAATCGTCCAGTACCTTGAATTTCTGGTTCAAAGAAGAAAAAAAAAACCCAGCAAGTAATAAGTTAAGATGAAGAGTGCTCAATACATCAAGAAGAGCAAAGGTAGAATAAATAAATCCTAATGAGCCAGGTACTACCTACATAGGTTTTACCACATGGGATCATCAGAGTGAACTGGCTAAGGCAGTTCACCCTGATGATCCCATGTGGTGAAACCTAGGTAGGTAGTATCTGGCTTATTAGGATTTATTTATTTTATGCATATATATACATAAATAACATATATATGTGCAGTGCATATGTCATATATACACACTCTTAATTTTTAATTCCCATCATTTCTGTTATAAAATACATTTTTTTATCTATCACATAACTAGCAAAACTTATTAAT